ACATAGTCGAAGGCGTTTCAAGATTTTTTTTAAAAATGCCACAGAGAACAAAATTTAGAGTGAATCTACATTCTAAGGGCTGTATAAAGATTTCATTTATTCACCTTCAAATAGGAAAAACAAAGGCAGTCCTGTTTCTATTTCAGAAAGATTCCAAGCTAACCAATGGGGGGGGGGGGGAATGAAACCAAGGAATATACTGTGGCTGTTTTTGGTGGCCTTGGAAGAGCATGCCATATACACCATGAGTGATAGGGCCTGGGCTTAAGAGCAATGTGGGAGGCGCAGGTTGTGGACAGAGGGCTCAGTCTGCAAAGGTTCTTTTGAACTTCGGATTTTCACCAGTGGTTAGTCACAAAGTTGACAAAATGGGTGTCAGTCAGCACATTTTTTAAAAGATGATGAAGAGATCACAGTAGGTTATCAAGCACATCATAGAAGACAGAAGTACAGAGAAGGTGGACTGCTCACTGGGATGTGGGCCGTAGTCTCAGAGCTGTAGCTCTTTAAACCACAATTCTGCTAGCTCCACATGTAGCTTGCCACCTGTGGCCTCGCAGAAGCACTAAAGGGAAACAAAAAGGCTGCCAGAGGGAGGCAGGACTTGTTCCTTTCTGCTTGGCTTCCAGTTCCTGCAACCCCTCCCCCTAAGAATGCCCTTTGACCCTTAAGCAGCAGCTAGTTCCAGCCTGTACTTTCCCCACATTTCCAGGACCAGCCTTGAAGTGCGCCAAGGGGGACCAGGTGGTTGGCATTCTCTCTTCAGCAGTCCTACTACACTCCACAACTCTTCTTTCCAGCTTTCTGACAACTCCAATCTCTCCCTGCCATCCTTTGGACATCAGAATGGTAGTGTCTTTTTGCCATTACCACCTCCTAACACCTGAGCATGGAGCTAATGTAACAACTCGCCCGGAAATGGTTGTCACTGATCCACAATGACAAAGGAACTTATACCAAAGTGTAAGTTAATCATATCCACACACACTGGCTTATAGGTGGACTTTCTCAAACAGAAGTAGTGCCTTGATTCACTTGTAGGTGCAGGCTCTTTATCTGATGGCATAATGATAGCAGTGGACAGTTCCACTGTCTTGCTTTACATAGACTGTGATTTGTTCTGGGTAATGACTTGTTACATGATAGTAACTCTTAAAATACCTCTTATGATTTCTGTTACCTGTTGGGCCTCTAATACAGAAATTGGGTTTAAGTACATCTAGAGTAGTTTTTAATTTTTATTTATTTTTCTAAATTTTATTTTATTGTAAAGATGCTGTACATAGGAGTTACAGTTACATGAGTAAGGTAATGAGTACATTTCTTGTGGGGTATTATTACCCCCTCCTTTGTTTTTCTCCTACTATCCCTACCCTTCCTCACCTCTCCCACTTCTCCTCACCCCAAGTTGTAAAGTTCATTTCCAACACAGTGTTTTGTGAGTATCATTGTTGCAATGGGTCATCTTGTAAATGGTATAAATGCATTGTGAAAAATAGATTATAACATAAAAATTGACCATATGGTCAAAAGCTATGTACATATGACTATATAACCTGATGCTAAGCAAAATGAACCCAACAATAGGGGCATAAGAGGTTTTATCTTTGTTGCTGTCATTTTTAATGTACTTATAATGTACTATGTGATTTTTTTGTTTCTTTTGTATATTATTCCCCCATGGTATAACCCCTGTTTTCACTGTATTTGATTCCAGTGCCCTGCATCTTGTATATGCATTTTTCTAATTTGGGGAAGGGAAGGGAAAAAACAAAATGCTGAAACCAGGATTCAGGTTGACCCACTGTAATAATGAGATATACAAGATACTATTTTGAAAATGAACTCTACAACTTTGGGGCAGGGGGAGAGGAACTGGGGAGTTGGGGAGGGAAGGGATGGTAGGGGAAAAACAAAGGAGAGGGTAATAATGCTCAATAGGAAATGTACTCCGTTCCTTACTCATGTAACCATAACCCCTTTGTACAGTATCTTTACAATAAAAAATATTTTAAAAAGAAAGCTTATAGACAGCAAAAAAAAGTTTGGAAATAAATTGGCCTAACATGAAGATTATAAGAAAAACATTATACATCTATCTACATTTGCCTTCCTGTGGCAATATATTTACAAAGATAAATCAAGTAACTCATAAAAAAATATTGTACTCGTCAGATACTATGTTGGAAATGAAGTTGGCATGAATAAACAATTTGGGGGAGTGGAGATTGGGGAGGAGAGTGTGGGAGGAAATGAGGGAGGGGGTAACACTGTTCAAAAAGAAATGTATTCATTACTTTACCTATGCAACTGTAACCCCTTTGTACATTACCTTTACAATAAAAATTAAATTAAAAAATAAAAATATCAAAAGAAATTATAATGTAAAAATTTAAGGTAAGTTAAATTGCTGTAATGACTGGATTAGATAACAAAAAAGGAAGCTATTTGGAAATCCTTATAAGGAAAGAGTAGGCTGGCAAATGGGAGAAAGCACTGGTATAAGCCTCAGTGTTATGTGCTTAATTAGCATCTCTTAAGGTTGCCAGTTGGCCTTCAGCACACCACCTACCCTCTCTTGATTTCCTCAGTATGACATGGGATGGTTGTCCATACTGGCTTATGAAGTTCTTTCCTGGTATATATTTATTTCAGTCACATGGTTTCCATGTACACGTTTCTATCTCATAAAGTGACTAAACTCAACTGAATGTATTTTAGACAGTTGTTGTTTTTAATGTACTACATGGGTTTTTGTTGTTGTTGTTGTTTCTTTTGTATGTTCTTCCCCCCAGGTTATATCCCCCGTTGTCACTGTACTTAATTTTGGTATCCTGCATCCTGTACATACAATTATCTAATTTGGGGAGGGGAAGGGGAATAACAAAACTTTGAAACAAGGACACAGGAGGACCCATTGCAACAGTGATACTCACAACACACTATGTTGGAAACAAACTTTACAACTTTTTGGAGGCGGGGAATGGAGGAGGAAAGAGATAGTAGGAGAAAAACAAAGGAGGGGATAACAATGTAACAATGCTCCTCAAGAAATGGACTCATCACCTTATTCATGTAACTGTAACCCATCTGTACAACATCTTTACAATAAAATAAAATTTTAAAAAAGAATCTCTTAATGCAGATGAATTCAATTGGGACAACGTCTTACTTTTTAATGCTTTCCTAAGTATTTGTTTTGTTTAAATTTAATTTTGTTGTCAAGGTGATGTACAGAGGGGTTAGTTACTTATGTAAGGTAATGAATGCATTTCTTGTCAAACATTGTTACCTTTTCCTTTGGTTTTTCTTCCACTTTCCCTCACCTCCCCCAAATCCTCCTCTCCTAGTTGTAAAGTTCATTTCCAACATACTGTCTTGTGAGTACTGCTGTTGTACTGGTTCACACTTTGTCCTTTTGTTATAATCAGAGCAATTGAAAAGAAACAAGTATCAAACTGATACAGTTTAAGGGTAAACAATTCCGAGGCAAAGTTTTCCACTGACAAGCCCTCTTGGTGGTGCCTTTATGGTCCACTGAGGATTGGTAGACAAAAGTTATTGTTAAACCTTTTTGTTAGTTTAGGGACAGAATTAGCTAGAGCTGTGTGGACATGATTCCTGTTCTGCTGAATGACAGCCACCCTTTCTGGGTGAGACCTCCAGGAAAGCATATCCAGCAAATGTGGAAGAAAAGGTAAATCCGTGTTCCTGGGTCTCACCCTCTTCCTCTTCTCACCAGAACCAGGCCTAGACTCTAAGCCTTGACCTTAGTTAGCAAGTCCATATTTTCATAAAGCAAAAGTTTTCCCCAAAAAGCATGCTATCCAAAATGATTTCCTTTGTCCTCTTCTGAGGTAGTAAAGATGGAAACACAAATGTCTCACAGCCATTCTTCTTTTGCCCCTGGATAAGCAAGTTTGCAAATGAGAGCACGAGGCTTCTAAACTAAGCAATTTCTACTATGCTTATTTACCTGGGCTGAATGTTTCTTCATACTTAAGTGTGAAGTTTGTTTATAGAAATCCATTAAATTGGCCTCTAGGCCATGTGCTCTTATTAAGTGAAATAAATACATAGTTACCAAAGGAACACACATAAGTAAAAAGCGTATTTCCTCTAGGAAGCTACAATAATGAGAAACAACTACTATTAATAAGAGAAATTACCATAGGCAGATAACATCTGATGAATAAAGACTTTAAAAATAAAAACATTTGAAATGTTTATGTCAATATTTATAAGATTAATGAGTGAGGCATGCTACTTTGCACATGCTCTATTTTAGAAATGTTTTTGTAACAAAGATAATATTGATATTGGAGGTTATTTCTAGTAAATACTTTTAAAGATAATATTTGATTTTATACAAGATTAACATTGTAATGATATGTGCATAACTATGAGAGCAAACGTCTTCCTGAATCTTGAGTTTAAGCAGCCTAACATTAAAAGTACAAGCAAGCACTGAATCACAGGAGGAAGACTATGAGAGTCATAACCAATTCCTTTCAGAATTGAAGGAGTCTCATTCATGCAGGAATGCATAGTGGGAAGAAATAAGACATAATTACGAAAGGAACTGAATTGTCCAATAGCATGTGGTATTGCTCTGTCATTTCTACTGGTTAAGAGACAATGTTACTACCCATATCATAGCAACTGGTGTTTGTAAGTTGTGTGATAAGGAAACTAACTTCTCCCATAATGCTAGTGGGACTATATACAGTTCCTGTGTGGAAGTAGTAAAGAAGCAGCTACAATGGATATAGGACTTAGCAACACCTTACATGGAAAAATTTTCCAAAGTATTTCTAGCATATGCCTAAAAACAATTTATCATAAAGCAGTAACTGCAAAAGATTGTCTATAAATCAAATACAAATACACAAATGATTCTCAGGAAACTTGTTTTGATTGCTTATAATATACTTCATATAGAAATGGAATATATTTTATAAATATGTAAAAATAATATAAAATAATTTGACAGATCCTACCTTTTTCAGGAACCGGACTGCGTAGGAAAATATATAGACATAAAATGAAAATCTCCACCTGTAGAAGGTTAAAAAAAATTAAGAGATTCAGCTTATAGTTTTCACAGCATATTCTGAAATATTATTTTGAGGGAGAAAGCTCATTGAAGGTATCCTCTCCTTAAACCAGAATTATACTTGACAAGTAGCTGGGCACACATACTTGTTTGCATGTATGGCTTTTGGCATATATTTAAAATATAAATATTAGACATTTTTTCAACAAGTTTCTGAATTTTCCCTTTTGTTCTTTTCTTTATCTAACATGTAAACTTTCTCTTCTCAATCACTCATGAAGCAATATGAATGTTTTAGAGTTATTAGTATTAGTGACTTAACTGAAGTTTGTTGTTTGTTTGAAAATTATAAGCTTCAATATTTTAAAATTTGATAAAATTGTTTTTTTCAAAAATTTTAATGGCTGTTGCTATGGAGACTCATGCAACTATAAGGAATGTCAAATTATTAGCTATAGAAAACCAATCTTATGCCATTCTAAAATGTAGGTCTCCTTGGTAGACTCAGTCTTTTAATGAGGTAAGTGTTTTAAGTATTTTTTTATTTCAGAGAACTGAAATGTTTTAAATATTTTGAAATATAAAGGATATAGGTTTATGTATATATTTTATTACTGGGAAGTATTTTACCCTAGTGCTCAGTTACTAGTTTACATTCTTGTACTTTTAAAAAATATGAACAGATTAAAACTGGCTGGGTGTCACTAAAAAACATTCCTGAGGTTTTGCTGCCAGTGGGACTTGGATTATAAATCATAGGTGAACCCAGAAGAAAGGATCTAGCACATTTAGGACCAGAAGAAGATGCTTTCAAGCCATGTAAAAATTCCTGAGATTATGCTGTCAGTGGGACTTGGTTTATAAATCATAGATAAACACAGGAGAAATTCCTTAGCCCATGTAGAACCAGAAGAAAGTGCTTGCAGGCCCTTTAAGAAGTGGGGTGCTGGTGGATCATGTGTATAATCCTAGCTACTGAAGAGGCTGGGATCTGAGGATAGAAGTTTGAAGCCAGCCCAGACAGACCAATCCTAGAAACTCTTATCTCCAAATAATCACCAAAATGCCAGAAGTAGAGCTGTGGCTCAAATGGTAAAACACTAGCCTTGAGGGGAAAAGCTAAGAGATACTAGTCAGGCCCTAAATTCAAGCCTCAGTACCAATACACACACACACACACACACAGACACACACACACACACACACACACACACAGAGTTTCACTGAGGTAACAGTGAATCAATGAATGGTGATTTTATTAGATGTTCCAAATTATATACAGAACCACCTAAAGGCAGTAACAGTTATACTCAGGAAAAAGGAAGCCATGTGGACACCTCTACAGTATATACAAGCACATTTAGATTTTGACACAAAGGTCTGTTCTTGGGTGCAGCTACTCAACATTCTAGAATTCAAGTCACAATTAACTTTAGAGAACTTTTAACTTAAAGGTGGAAAACACTGGACTAAGTATACATAATACCTGAATTTGAGAATTTGACAGGAGAAATAGAAACAAGAGTGTTTCAACAAAACTCCCAAACAATGTAAAAAAGCAAAGACTCTGAAGCCTCACACATAAGTGGGAGTGTAAACTTGTCCAACCACTCTGGAAAGCAGTATGGAAGTTACGCCAAAAAACGAAACATGGAACTACCCTATGACCCAGCAATTCTATTTGGCATTTGTCTGAATGATTACAAACTGGAATATATTAATGTCACCAGCACAACCATGTTTACTACAAAACTGTTCACCATAGCCAAGGAATCAGCCCAGATCCCCTTAATGGATGAATGGATCAAGAAACTGTGGTATATGTGCACAAAGGAATTGTATTCATCCATGAGAAAGCATGATATTGAATCATTTGTAAAGACATGAAAGGATCTATTAAGAATTATGTTAAGTGAAGTTAGTCAGGCCCAGAGAAACTCTCTGATACATGGTAGCTAGAATTATACTATAAATATGTAAGGAAATACATTGAGTGGTATTCATATATATGCAGATGTAGTAACTGAAATGCAGTAGATTCAGGGAAGAACTCAGTGTAAGTCCTTAGAAAGGCAAAAATCACAGTTCAACAAAATAAACACCAGGAAAGGGATACTTGAAATGGGAGGGACGGTGTCAATGGGAGGGAGGTAGAAAAATGAAGAGAAGAGGGGGGAAGAACGCAGTCAAAATTCTACATATATCCTACAAAATTAAGAAAAATGAGGGAAGGCGTGGGTTGGAAGGGATGGGTGAGGATGGTGAACAGGTGACATGGGTCAAGATGCATTGCGCTTATAAACTGCTCTATTGAACGGCAACTCCTATGTACAACTACTTAAACACAACAAAATAAAATCAATAAGACAACTTTAATAATCCCTATCTCCTGGTGGTTGTGGGTGAGTGTCTGTGGGTTTATTTCTTTGGTGTTCAAGTTCTAGATCCGAAGTGAGAGCTACAAGGTCATGATTACATGAGCATATATGTCTTATGCGCTGACTCATTTAATGTTTTGTTGTCTCCCATTTTGAAATTCTTGATGATTTTGGAACAAGCAATATCCTATTTTATTTTGCATTGGGTGGTGCAAATTGGGTTGTTGATTCTGATTAATACTATAGAATCTCCTAATTCTATTCAAATCTGATACTATTCCTTAGTTCAGTCTGTCTAAGGGAAAACTATAATAGAGTCTCAAAGGATTGGTAGCACAAGTCATTTCTACTTTTCCCCTAGTCCTTTCCTTTCCTTCTTGTACTAAACGTCATGCATTTGTCTTACTTACCTGGATGCCTGGAGGCAACTAGATTTGCAACTCCTTTATTAAATGATATATAACAGCTGTTTCAGCTCTGACTACGGTTAGCAGGCAGCGATCAGGCAGGTTTTATGGATAATAAAATTTTATAGAAGTCATTGGAATTTTTAGCATTGCTTAAACATCTACATTTTATTTCCCCACTAAAAAGACCCAGTTTTCCAAAGACTTGGATTCTATTACAGGAGCTCTGATGCCTCCGTCATTGAATAACAACTTGGGATGAATATTTACAAGGCAGAGTTTATTTCCACAAAGTATCAGCAGGAAGCAAAATTTGCCAGCATCTTGCAACATGAAGAGTACTTTATCTGTGGAGTTCCGGATAACTTGCAGGCCAGTCCCTGGGATAAGCTCTTTCTAAAGTATCGCCAAGAGGATTGATAAACAAAGCTGTATGGTACTACCAAAACCTGTTTTTAGGATCAGGGAAGAATTCCTAACATCAGGAAAAGAATATTTTTATATATTTATTTTTTATTTTTTGGTGAGAAGTGATGAGAATCAAGCCATAAGCCTGTAGGAAGTAGGAAAAGTCTTTCCCTCTGTGTCTCCCTTTCTTGACCCTCTCAATATTTTGTACAGAAATGAAAAGGAAAAAATCCCTATCAGTCAAATCCCAGGCAGTGCTATTATTAATGGTGATACATATTTTCTGAGGCAGAAGGGGCCCCCTACCCTTGATTATATGCTTTTTTTCTTAAAAATATTGGGAAGAAGGGAGGTACTGCACCCTGAAAATTTCAGTTGAAGAAAAGCAGATTGAGGGCTAAAATAATCTTGTAAAATACTGCACACTAGCTACTAGAGTTCTTCATAACTATATAGAAAAATCAAAAGAGAACGAGACACTAGAGAAAATGGCTTTAAATCAAATTTTTCTCATCCATTAGAAATGGTCAGAGCCTACAAACATCAACCAGCCACATGATTTGAGATCTAAAAGAGGATATTTACTATAGAACAAGAAGACTGAGAGCAAGGCCAAGGTCAATCCATTCATTCTCTCTCTCAGTAAGTCTAGTTAGAGCTTTAGACTATTAGGAATATAGATAACAGATGAGTTTTCTAAGAAGTACTGAATATGGAATTACAAAAGCATGCTCAAGTTGCAAAGAACAGTAGTACTCTAAAGATGACTTCCTGCAGCATTCAAAAATGGTTTTCAGCTGGGTACCAGTAGCTCACAACTGTAATCCTAGCTACTTGGAAGGCTGAGATCTGAGGATCATGGTTCAAAGCCAGCCCAGCCAGGAAAGTCTGTGAGATTCTTATCCCCAATTAACTGCCAAAAGCCTGATGTGGAGTAGTAGCTCAAGTGGTAGAGTGTTAGTCTTGAGTAAAACAGCTTGGGGACAGGGCCCTGGCCCGGAGTTAAAACCCAGGACACTCTCTCTCTCCTCTCTCTCTCTCTCTCTCTCTCTCTCTCTCCCTCTCTCTCTCTCTCTCTCTCTCTCTCTCTCTCACACACACACACACACACACACACACACACACTAAAATATAGGTGAAAAAAGGAGCAACACCTGGATGCTGACAATGAAGAATAGTATTGCTGCCATGGAAGGAAATTGCTGCCACCGAAGAAAAGAGGGAAAGTAGATATACACAGTGGAAATAAATCATTGATACAGATAAATAATTGATACAGAGGGTAATATCCTTGTAAGGTCACTAGATGAAAAAAACATCCTAGATCTGGGCAAAAGAAAAAAATCTAGTTGTAATTGTTTCTGAGAAAATACAAGTGAAGAATGGAAATAAATATAATAATGAGAGATACATTTTAAAAGCACTAATTTGTTTTCCAAACCATATTAACTTATAACCACAGTCTGCTGAAAATTTTGAATCCCAGGGTTAAAATAAAATAAAAATAGTACTCAAGCATAAAAATGAAAACAAGTCAACACACAATTCATATGAACACTAGTCATTGTTAGAGAATCAAATGCCCTGCTGGTTTAAATTTCTCTTCTATATCATCAAATGTCAGTATTGATCAAGATATATTGTATTCATAAACTGCTTTGTTAAATGGTAACTTATTTGTATACTACTTAAAAATAATAAAATGAAAAAGACAAAAATTACCCCATCAGAGATAGCTACTGCCAACCAAACTCCCTTTTTTGTAAAGTAATATGAAAGATAGCCTCACATTCAATACTCTGAAAATAC